AAAAATATGTTTAATGATGTTCTTCTTAAAGACAACACAGAAATATGGAGTGTCAAACAGCTCTCACCTTGGCACTTTAAACGTACTATAACAGTAATACAAATTGACTTGGTAATGGTGAATGGACTGGAGGTGGCTGTGGCTCAGTTGGTAAAGTTGGTGGTCTTTCAGTCCGACAGTTGGGGGTTCAATTCCCAGCACCTGCAGCCACATGTTCAAAGCAGCAGGGGGTTGAGAGAACACAGAGTCTGGCGCTGAGCAACAGCTGACCCAAACTGGTCTTGATTATGTGACGTCTTTCTTGATTGCCATGACCCTTGTATGTCATCAGATGGAAGGGCAGGAGGTACAGTTTACTCAGATGATGAGAAAATCTAGTTGTGAACAAGTGGGAACCTTTATTGTGTCCACAGTTTTGGCCCGGAGATACATGAGAAACAGCTCACGTAGTGTTTTGGTTTGGTTGATGATGAACTTGGAAGATAGCTGGTTGGATTCCTCGACTCTTGAAGTCTAAGAGATGTGTTTTGTGCAATATACAATACCTCATAATGATCAAGAAGCACAGCCATTAGCTGTGTGAAACTGTTAGTGTATAACTTAAATTACAAGACTAGAAATGCTTTATGTACGTGCAGTCCATTTAGCATTTATGCTACTCTAATAGCAACTTTGCTCGATGGCGATGGCCTGGTATGGAAACATAACCAAGTTGTCACGCTTGCAGTCACCCTCAGCTACAAAAGGAAACTTTTTCTAATGGCTCTTTGTGAAGAATATTCTCAGGTTGACTTGCCACCCACATACTCAGATCTTTGTGCATTTGGAAACGGCACATGATGTGACAAACATTCACCTTCAGTCTCACAAATTCCAGCTCAACTGATGATCCACAGATGTAGCACCTTTGAGAAACACATTTTTATTAAACCATGCTTACCTTGACTTTGAGCTCTAACTCCCCAGTCTCCACTTGTATCATTCCCTAAAAGTCGGGTATTAAAGGAATATCTGCTAATTCCTGCAGGGCCTTCATGGAATTAGAAGCAGAAGCAGACGTAGACAGGCCCAGACACCCACCATGGCAGAGAATTTGTTTGGAATTCATGTCTGCGAGGAAAATATGAAACAGGGTGCCTCAAATCATTTAATTTTTGATAGCTTCTGTTACTCATAACAATACTCTTCATTCTGTATTCACTTTTCAAGCCTCCTCTCGGCCACTTTCTCTTGCCACAAACCAAACGAACCATGTCTACCATAAAAAGTCCTGGGGATATTTTTACTGTGTCTAACTAGATCGAGACATGGTTTGGGGATAACACATCTTGATCTGAAACTGTCTGAGAACTATCTGCTGCTGAAGAGCGGGGTCTCTTTGGTGTGGTCTTTACTGAGCTGCGAGAGGGAGCTAGCAAGTGCAGAAATAATCTGCATGCACCACAATGCATAAAGTCCCAAATACAAAAAGTGATTTATTAGAGCTGGCATCAATCACAGACAATGCCAAAGGAACACTATGGCATAACAAATCAACAGAACATTTTTCACATGATCCGAGGGATGCATCTTACTCAAACAATATTCAAGCACATACGTATTGACAGTTGACACACAAACACTGGTTTTCCTGCACTGAGGTTTACAGCTGGAATTGATAACACAGTGTTCCCGGGTGTGCAGGTTTCCTTGCACGCCACCCATTCTGTGCGTGTGTGCGTGTTACCATTCCTAATGAATCCCATTCACTGAATCATGAGATATGGAGTTGGCAGTGGTGGCAGTGGTGACGGCACGCTCAGCGCCTTCCAGTTCTTAGGAATAAAAGTCCCACACACACACGTACAGTGGCTCACTTAGTGGACTTTTTTTCTCTTCCTCTCTTTCCTCTCTAACACATACAAATTGACTTCGTCTTTAGTATCTCATCTGTCATGGCAGAGTTCTGCCCTTCAAATAATCAATGTTCCTACAATTCCAGCTGCCTGCTGGTTTCCAAACAAGATTAACACACTCCTACTGTCAACAAATCCAGGAAAAAGATGTTGAGCAAAAGCTTAATCTGTCTGGCACACCTTGGTCAAACAGGAGTAGGCAGTGGGGTGGTTAGGGACTACTTGCAGCAGTGGATTAACACATAATGCTTCTTTATGCAGCAGCAAGACAGTATTTACTGATTTGACTCAAGAATCTACAGTGCCCATGTTCATTAAAATAACAGAGCAGACATGTAGTGCAACATTGTTGTGTAATTAAACGCCATTGGACATAAAAATCTAATCTATTACATAAAGGAATAAGATATTCAATAACCAAATAGTTCTTTTTAGATGCCATTTTATTTCTTTCTCAATGTTTTTACAATAAGTAGCCAAATTTATAGGGGCAGAGTGGTTAGGACGTACGCCCCATGTAGAGGCTGTAGTCCTTGAGGTAAGCAGCACGGGTTCAAATCCAACCTGTGGCTCCTTAACAGCATGTCGTTCCCCACTCTGTCTGACTCTGATTTCTATCTCTATCCACTGTCCTGTCTCTCCAATAAAGGCACTAAAAAAAAAACCAAAAGTTACCAAATATATATAAGATCATCCACATTTGTATATATTTTATTTAACTATATTATTTCTTAGTTACAGTATAATGAAACACAAACACCATAAAATGAATGTTGTGTAAGCTGGATGTAAGCTTTCTGGATAAACTTTGATGAAAATGTATCCATCAAAGAAGATTTCGTAACAAGTGTTTTAGCTCATCGGAAGAAAGTCATTTAAATGAACTTCCTTCAGGAAGCAACCAACAGCCAGAAAAAGAGATTAAGATATTTACAAAGCAGCATTCTGTTATTTCTACCCCTGTCTTTGAGATTCTCTCATAGCAGCTCTTTTTGATGTAGCATGAATGGATATAGCTGCAATAACTGAGGATAAAGACGTGTTGACCCGAGGGTGAGCATGATGCCGGAGCCACTGGCGAGGACAGACGATCAATTTGCAGTTGTGGTTTAACATGCCTTTAGTCAGGAGTGTTAAGCCCTGCACCCGAAATAGACTAGCAGCTGTGTGAGCCTGTGTGAGCCTGTGTGTGACGATGCATGTAAGAGGGACAAATAGACAACCTCTCAGCACTACAAAGCCAATGACGCCTGAGATTGTAGTAATGGACCAGGACTGAGAGAAAGGTGCTTTCATCCTGTTCCATGGAGCTGCTATATTGACTGACTGGATGGAAGGAAGGACGAATTGATATAAAGATAAATGGATGGAAAACCACTGACTGTTGTTGCCCTCTCTCTTTTTCCAGTTGTTGTCCTGCAACGGATAGGGGAGAACTTGGTATGATCAACATGATGACAGAGTACTGTATGACAAAAGAAAAATGGTGGAATGTTGTGACGTAAAAAAATGTCTTTAAATGTCGAGATATAGATCATTCATGTGAGCTGTGTGGACACTGATGTTATTTTTTCACACAACTGAAGTTCCTAACAGAAAAAAAGTTATGTTCATTCTGAATTGAATTTTACATTTTTTGAATGTGGTGTGGTGTTAGGTGTTGTGGTTTATTGTGTGCAATTTTGTCCCTGAGGTCTAACTAATCAGTTCAGAATGTGAAGTGGAATAAAGACCAAATACCTGTGTGCCAGCATTTTTTGGAAAGCTCATTCTATTTTCCAAAACCAACCCCTCATAATTAAATGACTTGTTTTTAACCTCCTGTGTGAATTTTGGTTCCAGTATTATTTCCATAGTTCATTTTGGGAATATGCTATTTCCTGTGCCTTTAACTGGCAATTCTCTGAAAAAAGGGCCCTAATTCACAGTTGATTTTCTATTTTGGTAAAGACTTTTTTGGTATCAAGCACTAGTTCAGTTGTCTCGATTACAGAATAATTTTGATTTTGTAAATTACTTTTCCCTTTTATAGTAAAATAGACTGTCAAGGGGATGCTTTCGCTCAGTTGGTAGAACTGACACCTCATGTATAGTTGCTTCAGTCCCTGTTGCACTAGTTGCAGGATCGATTCCCAGTCCTGATGCTATTTGGTTCATGTCATCCCCCACTCTCTCTGCCAACATTCCTGTCTCATTATTGCTTTCCTATCAAATCAAGCCTCTTGAGTAGAATAGAGACTTTAGCACTGTTGTCCAACTATGGTCACTAATTGTACCAAAAGGAAGATGTTGGCAAGGGCCAATATGCTGAAATTGAATACTCAAACAAATGGGGGATGACTTTGTGGTTACATTTGCTTCTTCTTATAGCCTGTCCTCCGTTCTGGCCATTTAGGTGCTTCTAAAAGATGCCTGGTCTGTTCTGAGACTTTTTTCTAAGCCTACAGCTGTCTATAGCTTCATGTTTGATTTACAACCATGACAGTTGTATCATAGTCACCAAAGTCATACTAAAAAAAGCAAACCTGTGAATTTTAAGCATGGGGACAAGATCTATATATGGCCTTCTATGCATCTTCAATTGACAACCCTCCTGAGTGATTGAATCAGAAGTGGACGGAGTAAATGCTGAAGCCGTTAACTCAGGTCACATACCAGGGTGGACTGGGATGCATTTGTCCACATTGGATTGGTAGTGTGAATGATCGTGTGTCCTACGATATATTAAGTACCACCTCTGTAAACTGCAGCAACACTGTCGAGAACTGGGAGAACAATGCTGCCTCCCACCTGATAAAAACAATGAAACATTTGGTCTTTTCAAACATATAAAATGTACAGGTGCTTTTATGTATTTGCAGCAGACAAGTGAGATCCAAACACAAGTGGTCACTGGAGACACAATGTTCATTCAAAGTGTGAACGCTCGTACTCAAGTGCTGAACTGTGATCAGATCATTGAATATGTTGATACCAGGTGTGAACTGGGTCAGTGTGACTTTGTTAACATCTCTTCCTGCACTGTAATTAAATCTACTGACTTGCATTAAAAAAACATTTGCCTGAAAGTCCTCTTTTCACAGTCCTCTGTTTTTTGTTGTGTAGATATCCGGGAGACAGCGTTTGTGTATGCCATCACAGCAGCTGGTGTGACCCACGCTGTGACCCAGGCCTGCAGCATGGGAGACCTACTACAGTGTGGCTGTGAGGCGACCAGGAACAGGGCACCTCCGAGGCCACCCTCACCCTCTTCCTCTTCCTCTTCTGAGGATGGAGTCAAGTGGGAGTGGGGGGGATGCGGAGACGATGTGGAGTTTGGATATGAAAAGTCGAAACAGTTTATGGATGCCAAGAGGAGAAGGGGCAAGAGCGACATCAGGACACTTATTGACCTGCACAACAACGAGGCTGGGCGGCTGGTAAGAAGTAGTATCAGAGTTTACGACCTTAGTATGTCGGTGCAGTCTGTGTTCAGAAAATAGTTTGAACATGATTGCGCTACACCTTTTAAAAACACATATTTTAACTGCCACTGTAATAAAGCCAAATCTTGTATTTCACTCCACTCTCAAAGATGTGGCAGCAAAGGTGTTACTTGTCCTGTGGAATGTTCCATCATTCCATGAACATGCAAAAGAGAAAGACATTGCCCGCAGCCATATTTGTGTAGCGGGGTAAGCTGATATTCTAACAAGAATCAGGTTTCTGAAACACAAAAACAAGAGCGTGCCACACATTTTGTTTTCAAGCCTCCGAGGCAAGTAGCTTCTTACATTTCCACAGCCCTTGTAGGAGTTTAAAGTTCCTCTTTGTTGTTCATATGAAGCATGGCCTTGACAAGTCAACATGCTACTGAATGGAGATAAGTAGCATCTTTTGAAGTAGTTCATTATATTAATTTATATTAGAGCTCACTAGATCTTGAGGATAACATTTCTTTTCTGTCTGTTACGTTGGTTTGTTTGGTACACCCACGAGCAAAAAATGTTGGCACATGCACAAGAATAACACAGAATTGCAAAGTTCACTTCAGTTGGGGGTCAAAGACAGGTAGAGGGAGAGGAGGGTTTTGGGATAAAGTCCAATTGTAGCATTAGCGAACAAACCATTTGAACAAAAGACAAGACGTGCACACAGATGCCCGGAGGTTACAAAATAAGTGTGTTGTGGTGCGTGCAAATGTCTGTTTATGTGCATGCATGCATGCAGCCCTACATGTATACATGATTTGCAACCACGAGTGTGTGTGTCTGAGGTGGCAGGTGTGTGTGTTGTGTGTGTGTCTGTGATGGGTTAATTATGTGCAGTATAAGTGAATGATCTGTTGTCAAGGCTTGTTAGATGTAGGAAGGCCAGAGGCAACACGGAGGTAGAGGGGGGTTGTGGAGTTAAATTCCTTCTGAGTAGCGTCTGCTTTTATCTTACCTATCAGTGTGTGTATTTGTGTGTATGGCTGTGTGTGTGACAGCGTGTGTGCGTGTGTGTGTGTGTGTGTTTGTGTGTGTGTGTGTGTGTGTGTGTATGTGTATGATCCATTGACTTTATTTATGATAAACACAATCACAAATTAACTCATTGGATAACTTGTCATTTGTCAAAGTTAGTTCTGCTTTACTTCAGGGTGAAAATGTAATAGTTTTCTTTTTCCCTTTTCTTCTGTTTCATTAATATTTTTTTCTCCTTTTCTTTTGCTCATTTGCCATTCACCCCCCCCCCCCAACCATGCTGTCCCTTCCCAGGCTGTGAAGCTCTACATGCGGACAGAGTGCAAGTGCCATGGACTGTCAGGCTCTTGCACCTTGCGCACATGCTGGAAAAAGATGCCTCATTTCCGGGAGGTGGGCGACCGCCTTCTGGAGCGCTTCAATGGTGCTTCCAAGGTGATGGGCGGCAACGACGGCAAGACTCTCATCCCTGTCGGTCAGAACATAAAGCCCCCGGATAAACAGGATCTGATTTACTCTGACGAGTCGCCTGATTTTTGTGCTGCAAATAGAAAAACTGGTTCACTGGGGACACGTGGTCGCATGTGCAACAGCACAGCTATGGACATCAGCGGCTGCGACCTGCTGTGCTGTGAGCGCGGCTATCGAGAGGAAACAGTAGTGCTTGAGGAGAACTGTCTGTGTCGTTTCCACTGGTGTTGTGTGGTCCAGTGCAAGAAATGCCTGGTCCGAAAGGAGCTTAGTCTCTGTCACTGATGAACTTCTGAACCGAGGTTGAGAGCTGTCAGTATGACTTGGTTAACATAGTAACTTCTGTTATTTTTGTGGTTTGTGATGTAGTTTGGCCAGAGTGAGAGAAGGACTTTGACTTTTATGGTGTTCCATGTGTTTCTGTTTTTTTGCACCAGTCACACTAAGATGATGTCCAACATTTCAAACTCTTGTGTGTCCCTGTTGATGCTGGCCAAAGTCTCGAAAGGTATAAAAAGTGGATGCAATCACCTGGGAGTAAAAAAGCAAGAGGGACTAGAAGAAGCAAAATACAAAGCGAAATATATACATGTTTTTTTTCCGGACCTACCTATTTTTTTTTCTTGTATGTGAAAAAGGACCAAAGATTGTGACATTCTCCTATTTGGTTAAAATAAGAGGGCCTATGCAGCACGTGTTTTAGCATCACTTCAACTACCCTTTCAACAGCTTTGCTTATTCAAGTTGCTATCTCACAAAAGCAGACTTTGTGACAGCAGAAAGAGTTATGAAATAACCTTATTTGGATGTTTGCTAAGCCAACCCCCTTTTTAGGTTTCCTGAAATGACACCTCCCAAGCTTCCCATTCTCACATGGCGAATATACAGAACACAATACGAGTGTGGTAAATGCCAATCAAAACAATGGGTCTTTTGCAAACAGAGCAATGTTGATGTGGGTTTTTTTTCATCTTTCTCTTTATTAGCCATAGCTAGCCAATAATGCTGAGTCAGTTGAAAATGCATTTTATTGCTGACTTGTTTTAAAACAGGGACAGTTTCACAGAGACATGTCTCCGTTGACCTGAAAGTAGCTCTGCGCGGTTATTCTGTTTGGTTAGTACTGTTTCTATACATTTATTTGGGCATGCTAATAATTGCAGCCTTCATAAAAATGGACATTATTTTATTCATTACTTATATTGTACTTAGATTTTTTTGCAGGCTCTATCATACAGAGCAACCCATGAACATCTTCTCAGCACTTTGAGAAACTCAAAACTTAACAGTTGCTAAATCATGTTTCGACAATAACTGTTAGTAAAAGGGGTTTAGCAAACAGTCAGATATAACTGGCTCTAGGCTACAAAGGCCACACCGACTATTATGAATTGACTGACTGTCACTATTATGTTTGAGCCTGTAATGATTCTTTTGTGTACCATCTGTTATTATAAGTATGCTGTAAGGTGATAGAAGGATTAAGGCCCTAATTCAGTCCTTCAATTAACTTTGACATGTGTTTTCATGTAAACACTGTCACCATACAATCTTACAGTGCAACAACACCATAGACTTTATATGCAAATGGACAGCATGCCTGAACCTCTTCCTATTGAACAGAATGAAGCTACATCATCAAATTTAACTCACAGATAAAACGGCAAAATCTCTCATTTGGGTTTGTCCACAGCAGGACAGATCCTTATGTTGGTTTGAAGCTGACATTCACAGTTATCAGACTCAGAATCAGAAATTCTTTATTAATGGGAAATTCAGTTGTTACAGTTGCACTACACATAAACAAGCAGTAAGCAATACGTTTGTGCTGTACATTATGGAAATTCAGTGACTCTTGTGTTGGTGTTTTTTTACAATTTCTCTTGCCATTTCTGCTGTACTCTGACTTAGGGGCCATGAGCTGTCAATCATGACATTTTATAGTGTTTGATGGCAAAAAAAAACTATCATGATGAAACTTGGGTTGAGAAAAAGATTATCTGACGTGCAGTTTGATTTTATAGTTTGACCTTACCTGTTTACATAGAGGAGGCAGAGTTAATGACCTATACTGCAGCCAGTCAGCAGGGGGAGCTCTAAATCTTTTGACTTCACTACCGGGCTCCTTTTTCTCTGTCCATCTTAATATACAGTCTATGAACAACACTCTTATTATTATTTTTATTAATAACAATTGGAGCATCTTCATACAGCCCAAAATCTTTTACAACATTGACTTGTCTCTCCTTGCTTAGCTAGCTGCTGCCTTGCTTTTGATGTGGACAAGCACCACAAATACAAGGAGATGCTGGTCCTGACAATTAAAAAAAAAAGGGAAATGGTATAACATTGTTTTACTGAAGAATGCTGCCAACACCATGTTTTGTAGGTGTGAACTTAACCCGCCAGCAAAGACTTTTATTTATATAAAGATATGATGACAAGACTACTCACCTCCATCTCTCTCAGAAGCACTTTGGATAGAATGGCTGCAGTGGACCTCCTCCGTAGCTCCGCAATAAAAACCTTCATGGTTGTCTTTTTCTATCTACAGATATTGTTTGGTTTCAAGAAAATGTAAATAATGTTTTAGTTTTATCTGTTATGTTATACAGGGCTGATGTTATAATGCACTTTGGATGTTAGCTTCAATGTGATACTGTAGGAGCGTGTGTGTGTGTGTGTGTGTGTGTGTGTGTGTGTGTGTGTGTGTGTAAGAAAGTCAATGTTGAGCATTTGTTTTTGCAGGTTGGCCAGTTATCACAGTATCACAACTTATATATTTCTTTAAGTTGCTGTCTATTGTTAAACTTCTTTTTATTGGTTATCAAAAGCACAGTTCTCTTTGACCCTCTGTCTCAGTGTGAGCAGCAGACAAGATCTACTATTCATGCTTGTTTTTAGAGAAAGAATGTTTCCCATAAACCATAAATCGTGTCATCTCATTTACACTTAAAGTTTATTACCAGACAATGTATACTTTCCTATAAAGCTCATTGCTTCCACTTGTTCTGCTGAGGCTGATAGTCTTTGAGGATCTTCTCCTTTTGTATAAGGATTCAAAATGATCCTCTTCTGATACTAGAACTGGTGTTTATGTTTCAGAAAGCTATCATGATTCAGATCTGGCTGTTCCCAAGTTACAATAAAGACAAAGTAGTACTGGAGTTCTTATATCTTTAATGTAGTAACCTCCTCCAAAATAGTTAAAAAAAAAAAAAAGTTTAATTAAAACCTTTGTGTGTGGCTTTATTTTGTAACAGTCCATCTTTACAAACCGTTTTAATTCCATCCCTCATTTGAAAACACTGACTTTGGGTCCTTTCATTCATTGTCCATGCATCTAATTACTGCATCTGTTATTGAAGAAGCCCCCCAGAAAACTGCGCTCCGTTTTCAGTAACACAGAGTAACAAACCACATTGTAACACATCCCACTATATGGGGTCATTTTTAACATTATCATTATTGCAGCAGTTGAGTAACTGGGAGTATTTATGTGGCAAAAGGGAATTTAATAGTAGAATGGGATCATACAGTACAATCCACTCTCAAACATATACTAACAAAAGGTTGATCTTATCACTGCATTTGCATGAGCCTGAATTTCTTGTCTTTTGACAAAACAAAAATCTTTAAATGCAGTTATTATGATGATGTGATGACTGAGTGACTGTAGTTGTGGTCAAAATTAACACTTCAGAGATGTTTGAGCTCCTCTAAACTCTAAATGAAAATAAGATCAGTCAAAACAAATTATATCACAATCAAATACGTTTCTGATTGTGAGTCAACCTTTTCTTTTATGAATCTTTATTTGTATATTCATAATGTTCTCGAGACACTTTAAAAGAATCAGATAAAATACCTTATTTATTATTACAAAAGAGCAGGTAAAAAGACCTTACTCATTGTTATGTTAAAAAGACCCAATGTCGGGGGCGCTGGTGGTGCAGTGGTTAGTGCGTGCGCCCATGTACGGAGGCTGTAGTCCTTCGGGCAGCCCAGGTTTGAATCTGACCTGTGGCTCCTTTCCCGCATGTCATTCCAAACTCTCTCTCTCCTTGATTTCCGACTCTATCCACATTTCTATCGCAACAATAAATGCTAAAAACGCCCAAATATAAATCTTTAAAAAAAAAAGACTCAATGTTAATCAATCATGAGCACAGCAATAGCAACATTTAGCAAAGTTACAGTGGCAAGAAAAAAACATTCTTCTAAGAGGCAGAAATCTTGGGCAAATCCAGGCTCATGATGAACAGCTCTGCCGAAACTGTGCTGGGCTTGAAAAATGGGAGAAATGGGTAAGATGCAGGAAGAAGAATAGGGTCAAACGGGGAGGGGGGTCCACCAACCATCCTTTCAGTGTGTGTACATATTTATCTGACCAATTAGGTTAGGTAATGTAGACCATTCAATTTTGATATGTGTTTAATTAAGCACATTCTATAAGTACTATAATATCAATTACAGTATCATTACTTTTTGGACATATACTATGTTTTGTAGGAGGGGGGGAGAAAAGTAGCAGTAAAAGAGTACAATGCAGAATGATATCCTCCTTTTTTTCTTTAAAAATGATTCTTGAACAATCATACAATCAAGTAATACTTTTTGAGTTAATTGTCAGCTACAGCAGATCTTTGGCCAACCTGCTCCTGTCATTGTCAATCAACATGAACAATACTTTTTTTTTTTTTCATTTATTTAAAGGCATTTTTGTGTTGCTTCTTTTGGTATGCTCTTCATCTTTAGTATCCTTCAAAAATCATTTCATATCTGGATGTTATGTTGGTTTTTTCATTTAGCGTAAAACTTTGTGACTCACGTTCAAAACACTATGCAAATAAAAAGAAAAAAACCGCCATCGTCTTTGGTTATCGAATCCTATACATGTACAGTGTCAGACTCATACGACCTGAAAGTCGATGAGAATCTGATGATGCATTTTTACAGTTTATTAGGACAAGTTCATAAAATGTTTCTGTTGTAATATCATTGTCTGCATGCAAGATGAAAATCATCAAGACATGTTTATGAAGCATGTTATAGTTTTTGGTATCACATCAAGTTTTTATGTTTGTTCTTTTCTTTAAATTTGACTTTTAGACAAGCGGCAAACTCCAGTTTTAAAAAATGAAGCCAATGCGGAAGTTCAAAAACCTGCAGTCCATTGAGTGTCTGCTTCAGGCTGGATGCTGAATCACCAGGAGTCACATGGTCTGATTAGCTCACCTATCGCAACGTACTGGAGGTGACATTTGCATAACTTATCCGTTTTG